GTGTATATATATGGACACTTTACATATATATACATATATACACACAAATAAGTGTATGTATATATGAATACTAAATATATATAAAGTGTTCTGTCAGGTTTGGGCATCAAGTTGAAACAACTTCTGGAAAATGCCCAGTTTACACTGCAACTTGTGCTATGTAGTCTAGTTTCCTTAGTTTTCTCATTTTTTGAAACACAGATAATAAACAGTAGTTAACTTACCTATCATTTCTCGATTCTGTGGAGAAAAAAAGCAAAGAAATGAAATGTTGTTGAGTAAGGTCATGCTTCGAAGAGGCTTGACTTGTTGAGCAATAAAAGCACAATCTGGTTGTAAATGTTTTAAAAGCATCCATAAACTCTAGTAACTCTTGCTGAGAGAATTGACAACAAGCAGCCTTCTTTCTCTTAGACTATGCTCAGTAAATATTTGCTCTGTAAATGCCACATGAACAAATTCATGAACACCTACAACCACATCTTAGTAATGTAACCTATGCAGCAATTTCAGCTACTGGCTAAAAATATTCTTTTTTTTACATTGTTTTTTTTTCAAATGGTAACCTGATTGACTCCAAGTATGATTAAAGTATTCATTTTTGTGGAAAGTCTTAAATCAAGGAGATGCTATTTTATCTGGCATAGTATTTGAATAGATGATATCTTCCGGAGTCAGTGAGTAACTCTCAACAGATTTCTATTTTCCAGACATTGTCCTCTGCAAAAATAATGCTGAGAGGTCAGTGCACATCTGTCTGCAAGGTATAAAAAGCATTATCTGAAATACTCTTTTCTTACATCTTTCTTTGCATAGATAATGCATTTCTTTCCCCCACTGAATGGGGACTGTTGCCATAGTAATGTTTTAAGAATACTAATAGATCAATGTTAGAACTGTAGAAAGTATCTGAGATATTCTATGCAATTTGTGAGTCTAATGCTATATCCCCACTGTTGTTTATTTGCTCAACTGTAGAATAAAGCTTCCAGCAATGCCTTACAACTGGGCAGTTCTGGACTGTGAAGAATTAGTCAATCAACCAACAAGTTCCCTGTGACTTCTTTCCAGCCAAAGACTATGCTAGACACTAAACAATAACAACAATGTCAAATGCAGAGACTGTGTGTCTGCCAATCTGGAAAGAAGTGCAGTGCTGAATGCACCCGGGTGCCAGGATCCCAGCTGTCTCTTGAAATCTGCACTCTGCTTTTTTTCCATATTATACCCCCAAAGTTTACCTAAGAAAATTAAATAGCTCTCTCCTTTCGTTATTCTATTCATCTTGGTCTTCCCATCATAATTCCCAACTTACCCATATAAATACTATCTCAGTACTACACACATCCTGCACAAAATATGAGAAATGAGTTGCAATTTCCTCCATTACAGAATAATTAGAAACAATTCAGATGGTTTTGAATCAAAATCTAGAGGGAAAACAAAGATATATATAAAAAGATGTGTATGTGTGTGTGTATACCAATTATGTGTCTGCTTCCTTCTGTAACAAAGCCACACACTCACAGGTGCTTATTATGCCTAGATATAAACATTTATGCCAAGAGAGCCCATTATCTTCAAGCGCTGTTGCACAGGGCTCTTCAAGTTATCCCAATAATCAGTTTACTTTTTCTGAGGAGCTGGGTGAGGAGAGGCCTGGGTTCCAGCTACTGCTCTGCTTCGATCTGCAGGTCCCTGAGCAAGTCATTTCACCTTTCCTGAGTCTGGTTTCACATGTGTGAAAAAGACAGGGCTGTACTTGACCGATGCGTTTTCATCTGACTATGAAACCACATGGATCCATGAAATAGAACTAAAGTAAGGGATTCTTTCATTTCTCTTTAGTCTTTAGTTCCCCTTTTATATCCCTTGCTGATATCGTGCAGTACTCTTATCTCTTTTCCCTGAACTTGCCAGTAAACACATTCTGTCGTCAAAAATATTTAACCATGTTTTCCCAGTCATGAATATTATTAGAAATGGATTCAAGGATTCTGGGAGGCTGAGGATAGACTTATTATTTCATATTCAAATATACGTACATATAAATATGTTAGATAACTAAAAGGTGAACTTTACCAATCATTGGTCCAGTTGCCATAATATTTCAAACATCCACATTTAGAAATAAAGTAATACTCTGATATAACTGGCTTCTATCTATGTGTCCTAAGTTCTTCCTCCATTGTGACCTTGACTGAAATTACATGAATTAGTCCATTGACTGTAAAATCATAGTTGGCCTTTAAAATGCAAACTATTCCCAGTGTAAATAATTCTTTCTTTTAACTAGTTGTAATGATCATTTTAGTAATATGAAAGGTGCTAAAAGTGTGGATTCAGAATGCTAAATTATAATTTAAATTTAAACATTATTTGGCAAACAGTTGACTCTTACTTGGTATATTCCTGATTATCTGTATTATTGCAAAGTGCCATGTGCTCAAATGACTGAAAATTAACTCTTATTTTCGTTAGTCAAAATTTTTCCTTGGTCTCATTTTTTTTCTCCCAGGTATCTCTTTACAATTGAGCTTTTCCTCACCAGAATCTATTTCTATAGTTGGAAAAATTCTGAAACAACCTAATGTGCAAAAATCCAAGGTATATACACGTTAGAGAAGTAGTGCTGTTACATAGTAGGTGAATCCAGGACCTATTTGCTTAAAGTAAGTGGAATTAATAATTATGACAACTTCTATAATTAAACAGAACTTTATTCTCTCCTATAACTGTCAAGCAACATGGCAGAATGAGCTGGCATGAGCAGGTTCCCTCTCAGCACCACTACCCTTTCACCCAACTCCTAAAACATAGAAACACTGGAGAAAATAGGACGATAGCACAATACCATTTTAATACCAGCTAAGCACAAAAGAAAGGCAAAAAGTACAGGAGGTTAAAGCCAGAGCAGGGCAACATGCAGTGATGGTGTGACACCGTGATGGTCTCGAGGGTGAACAGGATGGAAGCCTTTGGCACTGCTGATTCAAGAGCAGGAAGTTCAGCCTGAGCTCCACAGGAGGCTGGAAATCAAACTGGGCACTGGGCATGAAGGTCAGAGCTGCCTCTTCTAGAGAAAAGGAGTCGGGAACACTCTCCACCTATTCAGGCAAGGCCTGAGGAAGATTGTCCCTGTGGAGCCAGGGATTGGAAAATAGCCACCAAAAATCAAAACCCCAGTTATGTAGCATAACTGGTGAATTCTTTTCTGTGCCTGCATGATGAAAGAATCCTGGGCCAATAAACAAGCCCAGGACCATTGGGACTCTGAGACCCAGACGAAGGAAGTCTTAGGGGATCTGGAAAGGTTTTTTAGCCAAAGTGGGGCTTGAAAGAGAATTGCAATATACAGAATTAGTGGAGAAGTGTCCTAGATGGCGACCTACTTATGCAAAGACACATGAGGAAATAAGTGGCATAAGATTCAAAGTTCATGGAGTGGATAGAGTGACAAAAAAGGCTGAAGGAGGGGGTAGATTAGAGGGACAATTGCATGTCATCGTGTATGAAACTAGTAACTAGGGCTTTTCTGTTCTGCCATGCAATGAGAAATATAAATAGTGAATGGCATGAGTGAGGGAAAGAGTTATTTAATGCCAGCTAACCACCTCTGTGTTCACTTGGACAAATTGTTTCCTGTCATCAGATAAATAAATCGTTGGTGCTGCTCCCCTACAGTTTGCTATAGAGAAGGCCAAATGAGAAGCAGCTCCGTTTTCCTGTAGTTTGGAGCATTAGTCCTTGTTATTTTCAATTTGGGACTCCTAATGGCAACCATTGTATGTCAGGTACATTTTACTCAATCATAAAGAGTCTCTCACTGAATCTCAGTTGCAGCTACTTTGGGAGATTCCTAACTATCTTTTCAGATTTCCCTTGGGATCTCCCTAAGGTATAGTTTGCATAGTCTTCATAGCTTACTCTTATAGTCAAATCCTACCAAAGAATCTGTAGATTAGGAGGACATACAGCTTGATGTTTTGCATGACGTGGTATCACATAGAAACAACTTATTAATATAAATCAGGCATAGGTAAGTTTTTTTTTTTCAATAAAGAACCAGATGGTAAATATTTTAGGCTTTGTTGGCCACATACAGTGTCTATCACATAGTCTTCTTTGTGTTTTGTTTGCTTTTATAATACCTAAAAAGTGAGGGGAAAGAAGTCTCTGCTCACTGGCCATACAAAAACAAGCCAGGGCCCAGATTTGGCCTACCGGCTACAGCGTGCAAGCCCTGATATTGATTAACCCAAGGAATACAGCATTTTGGGCACTTAATTACAAAGAAGCTTGGAGCTAACATGAGTAAATGACTGAGACCCTGAGGGATGACTGTTGGAATGCTGAGACCAGCTGAAGAGAATGTTAAAAACACAAGACCATGCTTGCCTGAACAACCAGAGCATCCATCAAAAGGAAATCATTTTCAGAGTGAAATCAAGCTTGCATGACGAACAGCAGAATATCAATCCAAACAGATGTGTAGGAGGCAATGGAAAATCAGAACCATGGAACAGTAGATTATTTAAAGCAAATGAAGTCAAATGTTAGAGAATGGAAGTTTAAGGAAGACCCTATGTCAAAATGTAACAATTGTACCATACTGCAATGCCTTTCAATTTCAAGTCATTTAAGACTATCTGTATTTTTACCTATGTATAATTATGAACTCATACATAAAATATAAAGCTATTATTCTGGGAGCAAAAGGAAGAAAGATGAGAAAATGGAAATAAAGGAAAAGGGGGAAGATCTGATGAGTCTACTTGGATGGGTCACAAGATGCCCAGATAGCTCATAAAACAATTTTTGATTGTGACTGTGAGTATTTTTCCAGAAGAGGTTAGTATTTGAATTGGTAGAACAAAGACCATTCTCACTAATGTGGTTAGGCATCATTCAATCAGTTGAGAGCCCCCATAGAACAAAAAGGAAGAGGAAGGGTGAATTCTTTCTGTGCTTGAACTGGGTATGTCTTCTTCTGCCCTCAGACATTGGTGCTCCTGGTTTTCAGGCCTTCAGACTTGGACTAGAACACTACCACCAGCTCTTCTGGACTTCAGCTTGCAGATGTTAGATTGTGGAACTTCTTAGCCTCTGTGATTGTGTGAGTCTGTCTCTTATAATAAATCTCTGTGTATCTATATTTATTCTACTGGTTCAGGTTTTCTGGAGAACCCTGACTAATACATAAGGGAAAGGAAAGGAGGAGAGAGAAAGAAAAGTAAAAGGAATGAGTAAAGGACAATAATATTAACATCTACCAAATCTTTAAGTATAAAGTGACAATTAGCTTTGGTTAAGCCTAAATATTCTGAAAAGGGAGGAAGGGAAGAAGTAAAGAAGGAAGGAAGGGAGGGAGGGAGAGAGGTGAGGTGAGGTGAGGGGAGGGGAAGGGAGGGGAGATGAGGGGTGGGGAGGAGAGGAGAAGGGAGGGGAGGGGAAGGGAGGGGAGAGGAGGGGAGGGGAGGGGAGGGAGGAAGAAAGGAAAAATTTTTTTCTTCTTTTATTTCCCACAAGGCATCGTTGACAACTTTTTTTCTAGGGTTAATCACATGGTCACAACCCCAGCTGCAAGGACACAGGGAAACCTATTATAGCTAAACACATTGCCTTCTCTGATATATCAGTAGAAAATAGGCAATAATGTTGGGGTAGGCCATGGCAGATAATTAGCCCAGGGAGCTAATCTGATGCTTTCATTTTACTGTGTTGTTTGGAATTTCACTCAAGACAGGGATATAAAACCACAGAATTTAAGAAGCATTCAGAGCCACAGGTATGTGACTGACTAAAGTATTATGGTCAATGAACATTAGTAAACATTAGTGCATTAAATGAGCAATAGAAATGCATTCTCATAAAATGCCTTACTTTTTTAAGGTACTCAAAAGGAAGTGGTATGGACTTTGAAAGAACATGAATATCTATAGCTCATAATCTCAAAAACATCCACAAATAATCCAAGGGTCTATCAACAGGTGAATTAGTAATCAAATTATAGTATATATCCACAATAAAATCTTATGCAGCAGAAAAAAAATGAAAACTACTGCAACTCAACAACATAGATGAATCTCAAGAACATTTTACTATACAAAAGAAGCTGGATACATAAAAGTACTGATGATTCATTTTATACCTTTCCAGAATAGTCACAGCTATTCAACAAGAACAAGAGCAGATCAGTAGTTTTCTAGATTGGAGGTGGTAGTGGTGAATTAAGAGGTTCAATGTGGCAACACAGCCCAGGGAACTTTTGGAGAGATTAGAAAAGTTCTGTATCTTTTTTTTTTCCTTTTCTTTTTGGTACCAGGGATTTAACCAGGAGCACTTAACCACTGGTTCACATTCGCCAGCTTTTTATTTTATTTAGAGACAGGGTCCCACTTAGTTGCTTAGGGCCTTGCTAGGTTGCTGAGGCTGGCTTTGAACTTGTGATCCTCCTGCCTCAGGCTCCTCCAGAGCCACTGGGATTACAAGCGTGCACTACCACACCCTGCAGCATCTATATCCTGATTGTGGTGATAATTCATCAAAGCATATATACTTAAATTATTTCACTTTATGTAAACTATACCCAAATAAATTGATTTTAAAGAAGCATTAATGCTGCTGGATTGTAATCTCAAGGTAAAAGCTATATTTATATAATGAAAAACTACATAAAATCTTGGAACATGGTTCATTCATTTGTTCATCAAACACGTGTCCATCAAACAACTGCTATGTGGTAAAAATTGTGTTAGGTACAGAGGGTAATCAAAGGAAGGAATGCCACATTTGCTTGATGTTGTTAGAGAAAGTCTCATCATAAAGACATGCTTGTGATGGGCTTTGTAAGATGAGGATGAGTTTCTCAGAATTATGTTGAAGGAGTGTTCTGTCCCTACACAGAAGCATATGAAGAGCATGCAGATGAGAAATGACTTGGTGCAATAAAGCTCTGGGGTTGATCAGTCTGAACTTTATCTTACATGAGCTGAGCAACAAATGAAAGGCTTTAAACAAGAGAATGATGTAGTCACATTTGCAATTCTGACAAAATAGATGAACGGGTTAGAGGGCAATAAATCTAAAATGAGATTCAATGTGGTTAACTTATTAGCGAGCTTGTCTCAGATGTTAGTAAAAAACCTTATAAAGAACAACTTACTTTATCAGAGCCTACAGTGCTCCACGTGACCCAGCCATTGCCCACCTCTCCAGTGTAATTTCACCCCACTCCCACTTCCTTCTTACTCACTGTCCTCTAGTTGCAATGGTTTTCAACCTTTCCTCAGACCTTCCCAGATCATTCCTGCCTTGGGACTTTGAATTCATTTTTGTCTCCCTTTTTCTCTCTGATTCATTCTTATTATACTCGTCTTCATTCAAATGTCATTACTCTTCTTCCAACATCAAGAACCATGAGATTCTATCTTACTTGCAAACGAAGAATTTAGATTGGCAGGTGGTCTCATGGATGCTGATAGAAGACGCAGAATTCCAGGTCAAAGACAAAGGACCTTGTTACTCAAAGTACAATAAGCAGCATGAACTTTATGTTTGTATCAGTATTTCTTGTTTGGCAAGTTCCAGAGGTGAAAAGGATGGTCCAGATAGATATTGCACACACAGTGAGTTATGTCATAGCCAGGGAACCTAGAAATTTGGGAAGCTGATTCTTTTATATTGGATTCAGCTTCTTTATATTCAAGTAAGAAAATAGACCTAACCATTTCTCTAGAGGGAAATTATTTTTAGTGAACTAACTGGTATATGTTTATCCTCTGTTCCAGACAAAATAATTCCTTGATTATTCAAGGTTGTTTGCTATGCAGACATGCTCACGAAGATAGTCTAGAACAAAAGGGCTGTTAGTGTCTTTGCTTTAAAAGACATACAGAAACTTGTGAAACTTTGGAGAATTGTTTCCCAACAGTATCCTATCATCATTGCTATAGTATTTGGGATTCTGAAGGATTTTCCTGTGAATATAATGTTCCATCAACCATTCAGAATAATCTGAACAACAAGGTCTGAGATCAAACCCATCTGATTTGATTCATACAGTATTAAATTAAGGCTACTACTATCAGCAATACTCCAAACAAAAAAATGAGGCTAATTTAATAGCATATATCTCAACCATGCTTCTAAATTCACAGACCTAACCAGGTAAAAAGTCTTACAAACCATTAGTCAGGGTCTACCTTAGAAAGCACAGTTGTTTCAGGTTTCTGCATTAATATTTCCATTTTCATATGCACTTTATATGTGACCTGAAGCCTTAATCCAGATACAGCAGGATCTATTAGGGATTGCACAGATTTTACCCTGGCCCACAGAGAGGAAATTTAGTAACCATGGCAATTCTTAGCAACCATAGGTAGAGAGTTGAGGCTGGCCTTAATGCCTTCCAGGGCCAGAGTAGTGTTTTCTCGAATAATTGGAGGTCTCTTATGATTAAAAAAGTGCAAGTCACTGTGTTTTCTGGAAAAAAAAAGAAATTAATGCTGGATTCCTTCATTAAAGAGGAGCACAGATAGACAGTGCTTCCAATGTGGCTTCTAGGCCAGCTTGCAGGTCTTAGGGCATCCAGTTTTATTGGAAGTATTTACACTAGTCTTTATTTTTGGAAGGACTAGTTGAGAGAAGTCAGTCCACCCTGACTTGTCTGTGTAAATCACAAGTCAAGTGGCACTTACCTTCCTGATAGAAGGACTGAAAATGTGAGTAGAGATCTAGAGATGGGAGGGTTGTGGAGGAAGTATAGAAGCTGGGACCACCCTCTACTGTGTCTGGTAGATCTATCAGAAAGTTTTAAATGAATTATGAATTAATTATGCTTGAAATTATTTAAAAGAGGGATGTTTGCAACAGTTTGGAGAAATATGCCAACTGTTTTCCTTCATGAGTAAGGCTTTTTTAAGGTGGTTCTGATACACAAAGACCATTATTGCCATCCCTATCCACCTGCATCTCCCATCTAAATTATTTCTTTCATAGGTTCTGAGGTGATTGTTCTCCATTGTCAAAACCAGTGTGTTCCATTTCAATACCTATAGTATCTTTTCTCTAATCATCCACTACTGTTACCTAGGTCTTTCATCTGATAGGGACCATGTGCACAGAGTAAAAGCACATTTTGTAAAAACAGAGATCTGACATCTATTCATGTTCCCCATTTTGGCCTGTGAGTCTTCCTCCCGACATGGGGACTCAGCATGCAGCAACTTTGTCCAAGTGGTCATTATTCTTACAATCTAAGACCATATCAATCCAATAAGAGAGTCCAGAGGTATAAAACTGAATTAAGTTTTCATTTTCCAAGTCACCTTTTGGCCAGGCTGCCACCCAGAGTTCACCAACCAAGTTAGCCCAAGGTAGCCATTAGGGGAACAAGAAGCATCAGGCTCAAAATTGGTCAGGGCATAATCCGAAACTTCAAAGTAGGACTCTCCTTGTCCATTCCTTTCATCATGATAATTCCCCAGGAAGTAGCCAAGAGTAGGTAATCCCTGCCCAGGGAATGGCTACATTCAGTGATCAACTGCCTTACTAAGGAATGTGGACCAAGAAGCATTAAGAGAGGTTGTATCTACTTCCTAGAGCTTCCATAACAAATTACAACAAACTGAGTGGGTTAAAACAACGTAGAATTTATTTTCTCACAGTTCTAATGGCAACTTGGGCAGAGCAGACTAACTAGATCAGCAGTTTGATTCCAGTTGATGTCATCAAAGAGTTAGGTCCTTAATGTGGACATCTACATGAGTCATATTATTTTGTTAACACTGTCCATGGCCCCAAAGAGGGATTTTTTTTTTAATCTTTCAATCTGTGGTTTTCCAAGTGGCAGACAAATAGCTAGTCCACTCGCAATATCCCAAGAATCAGTAAAAATATAAGAGTCTATCAAGGACTCTTTGGACAGAGCTTTAGGAGTCTTGAGTTCTGCTCACTGATAGGACCAAACACAAACACATCAGCTTTGCCACTGAGTTCAGTGGATACTGTTGGCTTCACCTTTGCCAAGCCATCAATGAACCAGACCCTGGCAACTACACTGGGAATCAGCAAACTCATTTTTAAAAGGCCAGAGAATAGGATCTCTGTTGCAAT